TTGTGTATGTATGCATATGTGTATGTATATGTGTATATATATGTATGTATGTATGTATGTAAGTATGTATATATGTGTGTGTGTGTGTGTGTGTATATAAACATCAGCCACCCTCACCCTCCCTGGCAACAACAAACAATCAAATGAACCACTTATTTATGGATTTAAACAATGTATTTCCACCCATTTCATCTTGGGATGATGTTCCAAAGGGAGGGGCAGGAACAAGGCCCTTCTGGGTCCCACCAGATTTACCTCCTTAGATGACGGGATTCGCAACATTCCTTGCTTCCCCACTCTAAATATCAGCAACAGCACAGATAGACATTGATGTTTGGTCCAACATTCAGGAACTATGGCAGGTTATTTGCAATAACTGTTCTGATTAGAGCTGCCAAGCAAAAATGCACTTGGTTACACACACACACACTCCTAGTAAACTTGACTGCTTTTTAACAAAATATACTTATTCTCAATTCATGTTATGTACTGCTAGGCAACTTCCACCACACATGGCATTTCCACAATACATTGAGGCTTGCCAAGTTAAGCTACCTTCCTGGGGCTATATGGATTCCTTCACCCCATTGCTTACAAAATACCTTTTGTAATAGTATCTGTGTTGACACAGTGGCTAAAAGCGGGAAATGGGAAGTAACTAGCAAGATAGGTGAGCCAAAAGTTCCAGCCAGTAAAAAAAAATGGATCACTCACAAACCCTATAAAATGATAATCCTATACTGAAAAGAAAATACCACTCCATCTTCATTTTGGGCAATGACCAACAAAACAGACAACAACCTGAATTACCACAAAATTCTTTATCCATTTCAATGTCTTTGTTCTGGTAATAGATAGAAGTGTTGGACTCATTTTACTTGCTGAGGATACATGCAATGTGCATGACCAAATTCATCTAATCAAGTATCTCATGACATAAAATATGTCCATATATATTCTAAAAAAAGAGCTGGCACAAGACTATTTAAGGATACTGATTAAGCTGAAGAAAGTTATCATGGATTTAAAACAGAAAAACGTTTTCTTTCTGGGCAAAGTAGATGTGACCAATATGAGCCATTATTGGAAGAAAATTTATTTACAGCAAGCAAAAATGTACTGCTGAATCCTGACATGTTGGAATAATTACTGACTTCTTGATATATATTTTTTTGGAGGTAGAAGCAAAAAGAAATGCTGTTTTTAGAGTACAAATCACCTAAAAATAAAATTTTTGGAGAAACATTCCAGATGCAGAACACAGAATGACTTTAAATTATAAGAAGACAGGTTGGACTAGAGTGTTACAGGTGGGCTTTCCTTAATTAGATGTTTAAATCTCTCCCAAATACTTTAATTTTGGATTCCTGCACTGAGCAGATAGTTGAGCTCGGCGGCTTAGGGTGTCCTATTCCAACTCAATTCTTTTTTCTTTTTGCAGTTAATCTTAGCATTTGCTTTTCTATCACAAACGTGGCTAGCGTAATGCGTTCAAAAACACACCACCTAGTGGTAATAAAGGACCTAAACTGAAATATAGCATCGAGATACTCCTCTGATCCCGCTTACTTTCACCAAAGTCCTCAATCGCATGAGGGAGCCAAAACGTGCTCCTAACTCGAGAGATTAATCGAGCATTAAACCACCTCCGTTAGCTTACAGAAGCACCCGATGGCATGCTGGGATTTGTAGTTTTCATCAAGAGAACGACTGTCGCCTGAAGTACTTTTGTCACTTATCCCTCTACGTCATTCTTTCCTTTTTCAGGCCTAACGCTTTCCAACGTGGTCTCCTCGCAGGGGCAAAAAAGAAAAAGAAAAGAAAAGGAATTCTTTGTATGGCTGTCCTGGGCTATGCCTGCTAGAATATTCCTGGTGCGCGTCGAACCTGACTTTTTTTAACCCTCGGAGACAAAGGCAAGAATTTTCTGAAACTGACACGTTCTAATCAAGCGAAGGGAGGGAAAACCGGCAAGTTTAGAACACGCCGAGCGCAACCTTTTTAAACCAGGCGTTTGCTTGGGCAACCTTTCAAACGCAGGTGAGAGGTCAGACATGGGGGGGAAAGGGGGCTTTCCTTGTCTCCGCCCTCCCCCCTCCTCTGACATGCCAACCCAGCAGCGTTCCGCGGCGTAGCAGCTGCGCAGGAGGTGGGTGAAGGCGGTGGGGGGGACATGGGGGGGTGCAGCCAGGAGAGGGGGTGATGGAACCCCCTCCGCCGCCCCCCCCGCCTTTGCAGGGAAGGGGAACAGAGAAGACCTACTTCTGAATACAAGCACTGTATAAGATAGTGAGGTTGCGTGGAACTGGGGTGGCGGCTTAATTTGGGGTTACCTTAGATGGGGAAAAAAGAGCCGGAATTTGGTGGGTCTCTCGTAATAGAAGGCGTCCAGATTTCGCCCCTTATTCGGGGGAGGGAGGGAGGAGACAGTGGAGGAAAAGGCTCATCCCACTTGGAGTCGGTTAAATTCATTGAATCTTTTTCTCTCTCTCCCTCCCCCATAATCATTTGCAGGCTCCAGAGTTTAGTTTTCCTTTTCCTTTTGTGTCCCTTCTGAAGCCCCAGGATGGAGTTGGAACTCATGGAGAATGACATTTTAGAGTCACTTGAAGACCTCGGGTGAGTACAAGAAATATGTGTATAGAGATAGATAGATTAGATAGATAGATAGATAGATAGATAGATAGATAGATAGATCTTTTTTTATTCTTCCATAAAACCATTTTTGTTTTGTTTTTTAGCATG